TACCTCACTTCCAGTTTTTTTTTTTTTTCCTTTTTGTCTTTTTTCGTGACTGGTAACAGGATCGCAACCCTCGGTGTCACGCCCGTACCGCGACCGGCAACGGGATCGCAACCCTTGGTGTCGCGCCCGCACCGCGCTCAACCAGTGAGCGAACCAGTCTCTATATGGGATCTGAACCCTCGGTGGGAGCGCCGCCGCGCTCCCAAGTGCCGCACTCTACCGAGTGCACCACCGGGCCGGCCCTCACTTCCAGTTTTGATTGTACTTTGCTAATGAGTAGTAATTCTAAGCATCTTTTCATATGTTTGTTGGCTACTTGTATGTTTTCTTTACAGAACTGTGTACTCAAATCCTATGCTCATTTTAAAAATTGAGTTATTTGTCTTTTTATTGAGTTGTAAAAGCTCTTAACATATTCTGGATTTAAGTCCTTTGTAAAATACATCATTTGCAAATATTTGCTCCCATTCCATGGGTAGTCTTCACTTTCTTGGTTGTAGTGTTTGATGTACGAATGTTTTTAATTTTAGTAATTCACCTATTTTTTTCTTTTGTGGACTACACTGCTTTGAGTACTGTGGTTTTACCGTAGGTTTTGAAAATGGGAATTGTAAGTCCTCCAACTTTGTTCTTCTCCAAGATTGCTCTGCTTAGGTAAGTCCCTGTACATCCATATGAATTTAGGATCAGCTTGTCAATTTCAAAACAAAATGAGGAAAAAAAACCCCAGCTGGGGTTTTTGACTGGGATTGTGTTGAATCTGTAGATCAATTTAGGACATACTGCTGTCTTAACAATGTTAAGCTTTCCAATCCAGTGACAAGGTATGTCTTTCCTGCTGGGTTTTTCTGTTCGCAATCCTTCCTCACATGTGGAACTTTTATTAAGCAATGTTATTTCATTTTCCAAATCAAGAGTAGTAAACTATGCTTGTAGAACTGTGTGTCTTTCCAAAACAGTGAGAAACCCTCTGAAAGCCTGTTATACAGACCCAGTAAAGTACACAGAGTTTACAACAAATACTATAGCTGCTCTAAGATTCTTTTATAATCAGTTATGAGTTCATAGGTACATTCTAGAACTTGTCAGAAGTCCAAATATCTGAATCAGTAAGCCAATATTATATAAATGCTATAGTTTAAATGAGTTCCAACAATTACAATGAAAGAGTATATTACTGAGGCCAAGTGGATGACTAGTGTCACCAGGAGATATCTGAAGAGACTATGTCAGGTCTAGAAATGAATTGAGATTTAAGAGGGTCATAGTAGCTGGAGGGATCTATCACCCAGGAAGATATACTACTGACTATACCATGAACATCACGTTGTTTTGTGAGTACTGGCTACAACTTAGTAGATCAGTGATGTAAGTTCTAAGCACTGGCAACCTATGGCCTTTATCACTCAGTACAGTGTTCCACTTAGCTGACAATGCTTTCATAGGAAGACCTGCTGCCACAGCACAACACACATGCATTGACTTACTCCAAGGCAGTCTTCCTCCTGCAGGCAGACTGGCTCTGTGAATAGTGGTCTAGGTGAAACAAATTAGAGTGGGTGGAATCAAATGAGGCACTCCTGGGCAGTTAAGATCCTGTTCTACCAACTTCAAAACTCACCCTTTGCATTCTGTGACTTTCCAGTATACCAGAAATAGGAGAACATCTGAATGCTGAATAGGTAGCTCTAAAAATATCTCCACTTTCATCACTATAGCTGCTCTAAGATTCTTTTATAATCAGTTATGAGTTCATAGGTACATTCTAGAACTTGTCAGAAGTCCAAATATCTGAATCAGTAAGCCAATATTATATAAATGCTATAGTTTAAATGAGTTCCAACAATTACATTGAAAGAGTATATTACTGAGGCCAAGTGGATGACTAGTGTCACCAGGAGATATCTGAAGGGACTATGTCAGGTCTAGAAATGAATTAAGATTTAAGAGGGTCATAGTAGCTGGAGGGATCTATCACCCAGAAAGATATACTATTGACTATACCATGAACATCAAGTTGTTTTGTGAGTACTGGCTACAACTTAGTAGATCAGTGATGTAAGTTCTAAGCACTGGCAACCTATGGCCTTTATCACTCAGTACAGTGTTCCACTTAGCTGACAATGCTTTCATAGGAAGACCTGCTGCCACAGCACAACACACATGCATTGACTTACTCCAAGGCAGTCTTCCTCCTGCAGGCAGACTGGCTCTGTGAATAGTGGTCTAGGTGAAACAAATTAGAGTGGGTGGAATCAAATGAGGCACTCCTGGGCAGTTAAGATCCTGTTCTACCAACTTCAAAACTCACCCTTTGCATTCTGTGACTTTCCAGTATACCAGAAATAGGAGAACATCTGAATGCTGAATAGGTAGCTCTAAAAATATCTCCACTTTCATCAACTCCCTGCAAAAAATCATTTAAATAATCAAAATATAAAACATAAAAGCCAATAAATCAATTCCACAGTGATACCATTACCTTTATGGTTATTGAGAACACACCAAGTCCATGTAGAAGCAGACAAGAAAAGCTCAATGCCTTCACAGAAGTGGGAGTGTGCCTGACCGAGCTCTATGCAGGGACTGCACACAACTGTCACCACCACACACAAGAGACCACACACCTGCTGGGATCTTTACGATGCTGTCCACAGTGTCTCATGACTGTCTTTTCCTCAAAGACCCTACAGACACTGCTGAAGTACATTTTAACATTCTATGCGATAACAGTTCTTTATTTCTTTATGTAGGTTGAGCAACTATTTTTGCACATATTTTGTTAGTATTATGGCTCAGAACTATTACCATCGAATAAAATAAATGGCAGAGAAGCCACAGTGCTCTACACAACAAACGACAAACCCACTTGGTCCAGGAATGCCACTGGCAGAGACTCTCAAAACTACCTTGAGTAAAAGACTGGGCATGTATCATCCCCACCTGTACAGAAAACCAAGTACATGAACTGGTGGGACAAATAACCATTAACATCAACCCGGGCTTTTAAATATCCTGCATAAAGTTTAAACAGGAAAATGGATATATCCAAGGGAATCACGACTGACCTTGACATAAGGTGGCGCTAAAGACGACAGGTGCCACTTCACAGCTGTGGTGCCTTGATTCTCGAGCTCCAGCCAGCTCTCTAGAAGGAACATAGGCAACACCACTCACACTCTGAGAGAGGCCAGTGAGCCAGCACATTGCCAGGACAGGCCTCGTTGCCTCATTACAGGGGAAAATACAACCATTAGACCCCTAGAGGAGTTCCACAGAAACTACAGTGTCTCCTAAAACAAGCAGGTGTGTCAGATACCCAATTTTGGATTTTATTCTAAGCATACTGCCAAGATACTGAAGGGCTTAAGCAAGAGGGGGCCACAGAAGACATTTCTTCCACCAGTGATAGAAGGACACGCTTGTGTGCTACTGGGAATGCATCAACAAAGAGGCAGAAACTGATGATGGGGGGGGCGACACACACTGAGGAGAAGGGAGGAGGGTGGCAGGGGCTTGGAGCAGCAGGGGATATATGGTTGCTGGTGAGGGGTAAGGACACACACCAAGGGCTGGCAGAAAGGCCTGGTGTTAAGGGGCATCTGAGAGTGTGGCCATGAAGCCATCCACATGGCTGTACATAGGACATGGAGGAGCTAGACGGAGAACCGGTCTAGGCAAGTAGAGGGAGAGGGGTATAGGCAGTTAAGGGAGTGTGTGAGAGGCAGTGGTGGTGAAGAGTGCCAGGACAGTGGGGACAGTGGCTGGGAGGCTTGGTGAGGGCAGAGCACTGCTGTGACCTACAGAGCACATGAGCTGGGGAGACGCCACCAGGGTCAGGAAGCAGAGAGGAAAAGCAAGGTGTAGCTACGAGGGGTGAATGAAAAAGTCCACAAGAAGATGCTGAGAGTAGGAAAATCTAAGATTCCTGGAATACGCAGTTATTATCTGCCTAGGTTTAACATTTTAAGTTCCAAAACCTAGCCCATTATTGAAATGACTGCCAATGACTACTTGATTTTCTCCTGAAGCAGGGGGCAAATTTGTGCTGATTGCTTATACTTCGTACTCATGACTAACTTATCAATAACTAACAACTGAGCATTAGACCCAATATATGAGACATTTGAATTACATAATTTTTTGATACAATACCTGAAGTTTTACCAGGTTCTGTCACAGGAAAAGTAACAGTCTTGTTTCTTATTTCAACCTTCGTGGAAGGTGGTTTTGTTATCGGTTTTACCAAATGACTAATTGAAGGCTCAGATGCTGAAGGAAGAATTCCACATGAGCTGGAGGCCAAACGAGTTAAAAGCTCTTCCTGAGTCAAATCTTCCCGAATTTGAACTTTCACAATTTTCTGAAATGAGCCAAATAAAGTGATGACACAAATGTAGCTATCATATTAAAAGAAACAATTCCTATTTTTAAATCTTGATAGAGGAAAAAAATGCCAGACAAATGAAACACTGATGAATTTAGAAATTAAAGTTTATTCAGATCTCAAACAAAATAAATCTTTGACTCTATCTCCTCTCCCCGCTACCTTTTTTTTTTTAAAAGAAAATTTGGCAAATTAGCAATGGCTTCTAGACCCCACTCTCCACCATCCCCTCCAAGAGAATCATAGAGATCACTAAGGGGGGGCCACAGAAGATGTTTCTTCAACTGATGATGTACTAAGTGCTATAATTACATAACCTAATTGGGCTGAGAGAAAAAACACCCTCATTTGATTTCTGAAATGTAAGTGCTAATAGGATTACAAAACTAAAGCTACAAAATACGAGAAATGCTGCTCAAAAAACTCTTTTAAAAGTACCTTCTGTCCTTTGTCACAATGTATATAGATCAAACCACTCCATGGGAACATTGACTGTTTCGTGGATAAGGAGGAATTCGGACTCACAAGAATTTGTAGTTTACTCCTTAAAAAAACAATAATGAAAACCAAGAATATCCTATACTTTAATAGCAGTAATCACAAGAGTTATAAATGCCAATGATCAAGCATCTCCCATGGTTTGAGAAGAGAACAGAGGCTAGCCCCACAGAACTCCCATCCCGCCTCAAACCCCTGATTTGTGGCTGACAAAGTCAAATGTCCTGAACCCATGAACCCAAGGGCAAAACCCATGTGAAAGCAAACCAGGCCACGGAAATACCATTTTAAAAACAACTCAAAATAAAAATTTCTGGAGCCAAAGACCAACAGTACAAAAGCTCTGAACCACTTGGTAATAAAGAATGATACAGTCACAGTACAAAGCAAATGCAACAGCTGGGGAGGACACTGGAGGAAAAGGTGGGGGGCGGGGACAGAAAAGAAATTAGGGAAAAAACTGTTTATTACCCAGTTGCTATTATATTCTGTGCCCAATATTCTCTCCAAGATCCACAGGATTTAAAGAAGAGTTTAAATGTGGACAACGTGATCAGATTTGTGACTTATAAGAAATCACCAATTACAAAAGCTATTACATTACACATGTTAAAAATGGCAGGGAAAGATTACTGTTTTCTACTGCTAACAGCTAAATACGTGGGGCTATGGAAAAAGTTATTTGTGAAAAACCTGTTTTATCATCTCCCTATCTTTCCAACCATTACCTGAAAGGGTATGCTGCACATAATAAACGCTTAGTAAATGTTTAATTGATCGCTTTGGTCTTAGCAATGTTTCTCTGGGGTATCCCATATCCTAGCTCACAGTCCCAGTCAAGGAAACCCTCCTAAAATGCACCCTCATCATTTTGCAAAAGTTAAACTTCATGTTCTTCTTCTGCAAAGTTGCTAATCCCAAATATGAAGCAGCTTCTGGATGTGAGAGTTCTGTGCTGACTCAGATGAAGTCCCTGAGAGGCTGCAGAGCTGTGGCTTTACTTCCTATCAATAACGAGGCTGCACATAAACAGCTGGCCCCAAAAGATTCCTTCTGTCTTAGAATATTTTATGTAGAAAATGGTAAGCTAAGTTATATCTCAGACATATTAAAAGTCAGGAAGCTTTTCCTGAAAAATGTCTTTCAGACAAAACCAGCAGAATACATGATCCAAATAACTTTAACAAACAACAAAACCATTTAGGTTTTAGAGACATCACCACTGCTCATCACATGCCTCAGTTTTATTTCTTGCTTTGTAATTTTGTGGGCAGAGTACTACATCAAAAAACATTCTGATGTCTTCCACTCCAGGCACTCTGTTCCACCTCAAACATGCCCCTTTATGCCACAGGTTAGGCCAATACCAGCTGTGAGCATGACCTCTACTCCAGTAAGCAACACAAATCTGGAGCTCACTGTCATCCCACAGAATCAAGCTTGTTAGAGAGTCAGCATGGTGCAAAATATTACAGAACAGATTAAAACTACATATTATTTGATCCTTAAAAAGTCACCATAACAGCATCCGAATAACACCCAGAAGAACACAGAAGTCATACTTACTCTGGTGCAATAAATCCATGTTGTGGTGTGACTGTGAGGCAATGAGCCGGCCAGTACAGCTCAAATTTCAGTAAACTAACAGAATTATTTACAATCTGGAAGCGTCCAGTCTTTGCCACGTCACCTATTTATCAGATAAATAAAATGTTATTTACATTTAGCAATAGTGAAAATGACAAATATTATCAGATAATAAAAATGAGTCCTAAATGACCACACTAGTAGTACTACATTGCTTTATTTTGGTCTCTCAACTGCTCCATTGTAGAAATTTCAAATCCTTGGTAAAAACAAGTCCATTTATTTATTCTTGGAAACTACAAAGATACTGGCAATATTGAGCAAAGTTAGAGAAAAATGGAAATCTGAATATCATTACCACTGGTCTTAAGTTTGGCACACACGTGTGTACCAGATTTGCTCCTACTCTGAACCAACTGTATCAGTGTAAAGTGCAATAAGAAGCCAAGTGATGAATAAGCTCTTTGAAGGGGGCACTGGGTGTGGTGTGGCTCTGCCAAATGAGGAGTTGGGAGCCTGGTTGAGGAGCATGGCCTCAGGACAAGGGCAATGCTCGAGGTACGTCTGAGTGAGGCCTACAATATGGGAGCAGATCCTGGACGTGCCATCAGTGGGATGTGCATGAAGTCCATGTGTGTGTCCTAGATGAGCTGCAGTACAGAGAGCACAGGCCCAGACTCCAGAACACACTTTTGATGTGTCGTCACTAACATACTCACAAGGAGAAGGAGCTACCAAAATCAAGTGTTCAGGTTGGACAGTCCATATCTCTTCAGTGACTGATTTTTCTTGAGGTGGGTGAACAGCTTGTGAGAGAAGAGAATCTTGAGGACATTTAACTGGTAAAACATCCAAAGAGACATTGCCACTATGTTTTCCAGAAGTTTCTGATTCACTAGAGAAATTATTTAAAAATTGAAAAGTGAGACAGAAAAAGAGACAGAGAGAGAAGCAGTTAAAAATGATTTAAAAAATAGGCTCACATATTTTTATATTAATTCATAATAAATTGAAAAACATTAAGACAAAATTAAAAATGCATTATATACCATGTATTTTTCAGTGGATAAAAATCCTTCATACTGAATATACTTAAAAGTGGTGCATTAAAAAAAAGTACAGTATAGGTCAAAAATTATAATAAACTTTAATCAGAATATTCAGTGATTTGAATTTTTTCTACCTCAACTTCTGCATATCCTCTGAAGTCTCTTAAAAGATTTACTAGAGTGGGAAGCCAAGGGCCTCAGCCATGCCCCCCCCACAACATCTGCAACCAGCCTAGTGACAACCACCTAGCAGCCACTGGAAACACCCTGGGGTCCCCAGCTGCTGTAGTGGGGGGCTGAGGGCTTCACACCCTCGACATTTGCATCCAGCCCAGCAATGACCAAGCCACCATTAGAAGCCCCCTGGTCTCTCCTGCAGGAATGAGAGGGGTGCCACAGGCCTCAACCACGCCCCTTCCTTCCTCCTTCTCCCATCCTATTTCCTTTCCTCTTCTCCTCTCCTTCCCCACCAAACCGCTCCACAACATCTTAGAATGTAAAAAATAATAACAAATAATTTTTTAAAAAGATTTACTAGAAAATTACACAAAATTATGAATTTAAAAAAATCAATACTTCTAAATGCATCTATAATTGGTTTCACAATGCTGATACCAAGAAACTTTAAAACAAGGGAGTCTTCTGGGCAAAATGCTATGGTAAAAAATGCTAATACAGTTCATGAAAATTTGTATTAAGTTTTAAAATAAAGTGTTTTCTAATAAGCCTTAGATTATAAAAAATTACTATAGTAATCACTAAATCACATGACATAATTGAAATTTAATTGTGTGGTGCCCAAATTCTCCTACCACTCCAAACACTGGAGTCACATCTTCGTTTATTTCAAGTCAACACTCAGTGAAGAGAGAGAGTAATCCCTGTCTTTACCTCTCACCCAAAGCCCTCCCGCCCCTCCTTTTCAAATCAGACCTCCACTGCCCAAGGAACAGAAGTCATAAACCATCTTTTGAAAAATAAAGTTGATTCTTAGCTTTTTTGCTAAGAACCAGTTCCTCACAATTTAAGTTATTTTCAAGATAATTTTTTTTTTCCTTTTTGTCTTTTTTCGTGACCGGTAACAGGATCGCAACCCTCAGTGTCGCGCCTGTACCGGGACCGGCAACGGGACCGCAACCCTCAGTGTTGTGCCCGCACTGCGCTCAACCAGTGAGCGGACCGGTCTCTATATGGGATCCGAACCCTCGGCGGGAGCGCCGCCGCGCTCCCAAGCGCTGCACTCTACCAAGTGCGCCACCGGGCCGGCCCCAAGATAATTTTTAATATTTGTAACTATTATCTCTAATTCTTTCTTTGAATTCCTTGAAAAAAGATCAGCACTGAAAGTATAGGGAAGAGAAAACAGGCTGGCACAAGAAAGGCACACGTGGGGGTGTGAATCAGCAGCAAGCTTCCTGCTGGTGGCACTGGGCTCAGGGAGACAGCCCATGTGATGGAAAGATTGGTTAAAAATAGTAGGATTGAGGGCCGGCCCGGTGGCGCACTGGTACAGTGCGCCGCTTGGGGGTGCGGCGGCGCTCCCACCGAGGGTTCGGATCCCACATACAGACTGGCCGCTCACTGGCTGAGCGAGGTGCGGGCGCAACACCGAGGGTTGCGATCCCGTTGCCGGTCCCGGTCCGGTAAGGGCGCGACACTGAGGGTTGCGATCCGTTGCCGGTCACGAAAAAAGACAAAAAGGAAAAAAAAAAATAGGATTGAGTAAAAATGGAAATATATTGAGGATAATGGGGCCAGGATTCCCACTACCGGAAAAAAGGGTACCATTATGGAAAAAAATACACTTACAAATGTGGTGTTAGATTGGCATTGGAGGTATCAGGGAAAACTCATGGTTTATAACATATTTATAAACATATAAATATATGCATGTGGCTTTATATATTAATTCATGTACTTCCAATCTCTGTCCACTGAGAGGGCCTAGAAGCAAGGGCAACTCAACAGCAATGACCATCCTAGTAACATATCCTGGTTTCTAATACCAAAGAAGTAACTAATAAAAAGAACTATGACTTCTAAGAGAAATGGCTATCCCAGGGCTGAGCAGGGAAAGTTTAAGATAAGCCTAGAATATTCTGTTATGCCAGTGAATAAGAAAGTGCTCAAAGAATGATGTGGGACTCATGGAGAGAATCAAGGAGCGAGAATGCAAGACTAAATAATGACAGTGAATGATTAATACTAAATCCATGAGTCCATCCTAATATAGGTAAATAAGTACATAAAGCAGGGAAAAGTAAATCTCTTCCCCACAGTGGAAAGACAACTATAATTATAGAAAGAAAAATGGAATTTGAAAATCACTATTTGTTTAACCTAATAGTAATAGTATGATTCAGGCAACAATCATCAACGGATGCTAAAAATTTGATAAGAACAAGATAATTCATTATTTCTATGTGTCTCCCTGTAAGATACTTGACAATTAACTTTACAGTGGAGAAACACAGCAGACAACATTTTTACCAAAGTGACAAAAAGATTAGCAGGAATAAGACAAATCAGCATAGAACATCATCTGAGAAGATGCACTACAAAAATAAACAGCTGCACTACAGAAACAAACAGCATCTGTGGTGGCCAGTTGGCTCAGCTGGTTAGAGCACAATGTCATACACCAAGGTCAAGGGGTAGGACTCCATACTGGCCAGCCACCAAAAAAAGAAAAGAAAACAAAACAAACAGCATCATTTCTGTGGTGTTCTGCCAAAAGTGTGAAACCTGAATCTGCAAACTGAAATTGAGGAATATCTTACAAAGTAACTTTGTAAGTCCAGTGGCTTGGACTCTGCAAAAACATCAAGGTCATTAGTAAGAAAAGGGTTATCAGCTGGCCTTTAACCGATTTTCTCCTTTTTACCAGAGAATGCTCAAGAAAAAAGCAAGATGACTTAGTCAGATCTTCTGGTAATCTTGCAAATGACAGATCTCCCAGCAAACACACTAATGTCCTTATCTATGGAATGCTTTTAACAGGACGGACCTGGTCTGTTTAGAATTCTTTGGGGTTAAGAAAACTAAAATTTATGATTTTATGGGGTATAGTTCTTTGTAAAATTATCACGTAAGTTATGTAATCATCACAGTATAAAATAGAACCTTCATACATGCTCAAAATAGCTCCCCCTTTTGTGTAAACCATGTGTCACATGCATAATACAGACTGTTAAATTTGAAACAGAGCACAAGCATTAATATTGCAAAAAGAGCACAAGCATTAATATTGCAAAAAAACCTGGAAGCCACTGGCAGTGCTCGACTTCTCCAAGCCTCATCTAAAATTATTAGTAAAACTTAATTCTGGATCATATCTTTGATCCTGTGGATCTGATTTGATAATCCAAACTTCTGTTATCCTAGTAATGAAAGATAAGGAAAGACTATACTATATTCTAGTTATGTTAGTATATGTCCTATACTAAAAGAGAGTAAAGAGACAGGCTAACTAAACACAACATGTGATTTTAGATTAGAGTCAGGACCAGAGAAGAAGGGTGAAAGAGGATTTTTTTGTTTTGTGGTTTGATTTAATTATAAAGACATTATTGGAACAACTGGTGAAATACGAACAGAATCTGTGGACTAGATGGTAGTATGTATCAATATTAAATAGTCTAATTTTGATAAGTTTACCATGGCTATGTAGAAGAGCATTTTTAGGAAGTTTGGGGTAATCCATCATGATGCCTGCAACTTACTCTTAGATGGTTCAGAAAATAGTTATATACAAATAAAAAATAATAAAGTAAATGTGATAAAATGTTAATGGGGAATCTGAATGCAGAATATATGGGAGTTCCCTGTACTATTTTTAAACTTTCCTGAAAGTTCAAAATTATTAACTTAAACTAAAAAATAGAGGTGAAATAAACATTCTGAGTCAAAATAATAACAATAAAGTACAGGGGGAAAAGATCAGCTCAACTATGAATCAAATAATCTTGAAATCTAGTGAAAGATTTTTGTTTGTTTTACCTTTTAGATTCCAAGCTAGCTTTGGAAGAAGGCTGAAGAAATTCTCTGCTAGAAATGGAATCTCTGAATTCTCCAATTACTGAAAGTATAATTTTACGCATGTTTCCATAAAAGAGCTGAACATCATTAGGCCGTTGGGGAAGATCATACACTGGAACAGAAAATAGTGTTTTGAAATACATGAATCGTAAGCACACCACAAAATAACAGATAAATTTATATAGTTATAGCCACAGAATACTTCCGTAGGTTGGGGTAGGTGACATTTCGATTAATACTGTTGCTGACTGGCATGAAATTATAGGCAGTTCAGCATCTGTGGCTGGCAGCTCAGGCTCTGAGCCTGAATTTGAACTACCCTTGCCACTCATTAGCTCTGTGACCTTTGGCAAGTTACTTAGCCTCTCTGAGCTTTAGTTTCCTCAACTATAATATGGAGTAAGAATCTCAGGGGCTGTTGTGAGCATCAAAATAACAATTTTTGAAGATATATATGGCAACATTTATGTGGGCCAGACATTGTTCTAATCCCTTATATTTATATCTATTTTCAGAACTCATTGAGGTATTATTATCTCTACCTCAAAGATGAGGAATCTGAATCACAAGGAGGTTAAGGGTATACAATTTGTCAATTGAAGCAAATCTAGAAATCAGGCACTATAAACATTTCTATATTAATAAAATAGTGCTCAAGATGAACATCTCTAGATTAGGCCACCTGAATTTGTATATACAAAAAATTTTATAGAATATGTTTTAATCTATGCATAAATTACATAACTTTTAAGAATTATATATATTTTAAATAAAATTTTTAAGAGAATACAGGAACTATAAATTTAAATTTATATTAACCAAAAACATCTGACTATCAAAGTTTAAATCAACTATGAAAATATTTGTCACAAATTATACATTTTGCAAAAGTGAGATCATTACAAATACTTGTAATAGTAATATGCTCAAGCAAATATTATTCAAAATAATCACACAAAAAGTTCAACTGCAACATTATCATAGGTGAACACAAAAAAAGTGGGATTGTTTCCTCCATTCATCTGGACAATAAAGATACCATCTCCTCAATTCTGGTGGAATTCTGGTATCCCAAAGACCTAGTCTAAGTCTCAACTGAACCCCATCTAAGATGGGTGATCTTGGCACGTCACTTGAGCTCTTGGTTGGGCTTGTCAACACATTCCTTGACTTTCTGATCATGCAGCCCCCTCTCCCTAGAACATTCCTCCTCATCTTCTCCACCCTGTCAATTCCTGCTCTTCCTAAGTGAGGTGCCCTTTCTTCATGCCCTCCCAGATTCCTAACCACAGCTCTACCACAGCACTTTTCATGCCACCCTGGAATCGCCTATCTCCCTCATCTCTGCATGCCCCTCATGGACCAGGCCTGCATTCTGCACCACTACATCCCAGTGTCTACACACTGACTGGCATCCTGTCCTCTCGGTGTGCATCCATTCGTGGTGAATGGAATGTTGCTGAATCATGGAAACATGCAACTTCTGAACCACTGTACACTCATGCTACCTACTGTTAATCACCATCTTCACCACACTTGCAATATGTGACTAAGTGTTTGTCTTCCATCTCCATAGCATTGTTCAGTTTAACTCTTATTTAGATCCTTCCTATGAGGAAGAGATAAGGAAGACGAAGCTCAGAGGGGCTGAGATGGCAGAAATGGGTCTTGAATTGAGTTTCAAATCCAACGTTCTTTCCCCTTGCTCTGCTCCCTTAGCACACTGCTGACAAGCCCATTTCAAAGTTTCATCATTTTTAACTAACAAATCCCTGCCTTCCCTTTGAGCATATGATCGAGACTCCAATTTACTGAAAAGATCAGACTACTCTACATCACTCCTTCAAAGGCATAAGTATCCTCTTCCTTTTCTATTTCATATTTAAAAAGCAAAAAATATTCCATTACTAAAAAACTGGAAAATAAAAGTAGGAGGAAAGAACTACCACCTGAAATTCTACCACCAAAACATAACCACTTAATATTTTCCTATGTATACTCCTGTGATCCTACTTACGTAATTATATAAACACATTAAATTATTTTTACTAAAGTGAGATCTTACCATATACAAACTTTAAGAACAATGTTTGTCTTAATAAATGAAAGCTTTCCATGTCATTTAATATAGATTCATGTCATTGTTTTTTGTTTTTTTTTTTGTCTTTTGTCTTTTTCCGTGTCCGGCAACGGATCGCAACCCTCAGTGTTGCCCCCGTACCGGACCGGGGACCGGCAACGGGATTGCAACCCTCGTCGTTGCTCCCGTGCCTCGCTCAGCCAGTGAGCGGGAACCGGTCTGTATGTGGGATCCGAACCCTCGGGCGGGAGCACCGCCACGCTTCCCAAGCGGCGCACTATCCAGTGCGCCACCGGGCCGGCCCCCATGTCATTGTTTTTTTTTTTTTTTTTTTTTTTTTTTTTTTTTT